AGTCCATTAAAATGTTTTCTTTACCTTGCACGTTCTGATGATGAATGAATGACCCTCTTTATTTATAATTGTGTACTGCAGTAGCCATACCTACATTGTACTGGTTCACCTTACTTGGATGTATTGGTCTGTTCATCTGCCACTTCAAGTGCCATTCTTGACATAGTTTAGGTATAATTAAACACACAGCAATTTCACAGCTTTTTACATGAGATTACAGGCTCTTTTATTCTTTTAACTTCTGCTAGAAAATTGTTCTCACTAAATTACTTAGGTATTGTCTACCTTCTTTTGGGCTTATAAGAAATAGAGGACTGGCTCGATCTTGATACTTGTGAAGCACTAAATAAATTCTCAAAATGACTGTTAAGGTCAGAATGTCCCAGTCTTGAACTGATGCTCCACCCCATGAAATAAATATCTGTTGCAAGAGTTTAAACACTAATGATTGCATAACAGTGTTGCAAAAATAATACTGACTGTTCTGACACTGTAATGATTCTTACTGTGAGAAATTTGGAATATTCCAGGATATAAATAAAAGCTCTATTTAGGTGTGTACTTCTAGAATTCTTAAGAGCGAACTTTTACCTCTTTTCACTCATTATTTTTTTAAAATAATTTTTATTAACACAACACAAACACTTGTGTTCACATAACAAAATACATATCTAAAACAAGCAAACATAAATTAAATATCAGCTAATTTAATTAACCATTCTTCAGTCAGAGGCAGATCTTGAGTTTTCCATTTTTGGGCATACAAGATTTTGCCACTGTAATTATATAAAGAATTATTCTCCAAATTCATCTTTCCAAATTTCCTTCTGTGCCATCTGTCATGTTCAGTAGGGAGAGTTCTGGTTGTAACAGATTTTCTTTGCTAATAATTTTGGTAACCAAACTCTGGATTTCTTGCCAATATTTTCTCACCACTGGGCATGTCCACCACAAATGATAGAAGGATTCCACATTCTCAGAACCCTTCCAGCATTTGTTTTTGCCTGTTTTATATATTTTGTCCAATTTGTAAGGGGTGAGATTGCATCTGTTTAACATTTTGAAATAGTTTTCCTTCAAATCTTGACAAATTGTAAATTTATTGGTCTTTTCCCACCATTTCTCTTGTTCAATTGTGTGTTCTCTTTACACTAGTTATAATAATCAGCTGGAGTAGGCTAAGTTGATTATTTTCAATGGGACTCCTTGCAGCAGTGATGACTCCATTTGGATATATTTTAGGACTTGTGTAGGGGTTGGATAGTTACCTGAATAACAAAATATCCCGAACTAGCACTGAGGTATCCCGAACTAGCACTGAGCACTGGGGTATACCCTAGTCCAGGGGTAGGCAACCTTTCCCCTTTAAGGGCTGAGGGACTTCAGCTCCCAGAAGCCTCAGCCATGTTGGCCAATAGTCCCATGTAATAATCCCAGGAGCTATTGGCCAACATGGGACTATTGGCCAACATGGCTGAGGCTTCTGGGAGCTGAAGTCCCTCAGCCCTTAAAGGGGAAAGGTTGCCTACCCCTGCCCTAGTCAAAATACATGCACAACCTACTTTCATTGTGAGGACAGCAAGCAATTTTAACATGTGAAGCACCATGTCTTGCACAGCAATGGCTAGTTTATTACATATTAAGTTTTAGCAAGCTTCTGTGTAGGAATGATGTACAGTATTTTGCAAGGATGAGATCAAATTCTTTAGTTCCATTCTTGGACAAAGCTGCCATTTCTTTGTTTAACCTCTGAAATCATCATGTATGAATATCTTGCACTACCACTATGAATATCTTGCAGGAAGGTCAATAAAGTTCTATGTGATATAGGGTTTTACAACCATGGTTTGTAAACAAAGTTATTCTTCTATCAAGTACCTACATCCATCATGCAATTGTCTGTACTTGTGTCAATAGCCTTAAGTTCTCAAACTTGATCTTTATCTTGGCCATTTACTAAAGTGTATCTGGCAAAAGTACTTGGCCAAATTCAGAGAGAAACCAGACGGGGGTATTGCACTATAGGTGGTTAGTTGTATATGAGACAGTTTGTCCTTATTTCTTTGGCCTTATTTCCTGACTTCAGTCATAGGGTTGGTTTTTTCATACTGTAATAAAGCTAGTAATTTAAAATAAAATGGTTTGAGGCGATGCCATTCATCAGTGTTTCTTCTCCTACTGTGAAGTATTACTTTCATTCATGTCTGAGGCTGTAGAAATGTCTTCCTCTGTTACCAATCTTTCCTCTTTTCATCAAGGTTGGCATTATTTCCTAAGTTCCATTATTTCCTTGATTTCCTGTACCCAAACAGGAATGAAGTGCTCTGACAGGGCAATTAAATGGTAACATGGTTTCCCCCCAGCATTAAACACCATGATTCACAAATAATTGCATCTGCAACCCCCATCACCATAGACATAATACAGTTAAAGCTAAGAAAATGGATTTTCCAAACTGATTCATTCAGCAGCAGTTTTGCATGCAGAAAATTGGGAATTGACATTGAAATGAAGTGCAAAGTAGTGCAATGGTTGACCCAGAAATGCTGGTTACATGCAGCACCACTTGGTCGTGACAAAATAGGAAATCAATGTCATGTAATTGTTAACCTCCTTCCCCAACTCTCTCTGTAAGGTATTTTGATTGGGTGACAGGTGAAGCTCTGCCGTGTCGACCTAGTAAAAGTAGAGAAAGTGAGGGTGAATAAGTAATATTTCCTACATAATATTTGTGGGACATATGTATGGCTTCCATCTATTGATTACATTATTGATTATCTATTGTGAATATTCATTAGAAAAAAAAGCTGCAGTGCACATTTGTTTCCACCTATTTGGATCACAGTTGTGGAGAAAAGCAGAATTGTGTTTCCAATAAACTCTGGGTGATGCAACTATAAAAACTTTGTCTCAGTTCTCTCTTGGATACAGTTGTGATGTAGAATTTGTGTTATACTCTTCAGAAGCTCTTGCGGTTGAACCCATTTGACAGCCTCAAGTGTTCTTGCATTTCTAATACTTTAAGATGCTCAACTACAAGGGGGTATCATAAACTTTTAATTATTACCTTTAAAAAAATTTGACAGAAAGTTTGTTTTGATTTGTAGTTGTTAACATTTCTCTAAGTAGTCAGCATCCAGATTTACACATTTTTCCCAGTGTTTCTTGACCCTCCAAATACCATTATTGTGGCAGTCTGCAGATTGCACCTTAAACCACTCTTCCACTTCATGAATGATGTCATTTGTCTTGTCAAATCAGTGAGCTCACAATGGATTTTTCATTTCTGGGAACAAGAAAAAGTCACTTTGTGTGAGATCAAGAGAATAAGGTGAATGCTGCAAGATCTCAAAGCCACATGCCCTTGCTTTGTTAACTGCAACGAGATGAGTGAGCTGGTACATTGTCAGCTAGGAGATGAATGCTTCTGAAGAGCATACCACAGCATTTCGTTTTCAGAGCATCTTGCAGCTTGTCCAGAATATTGCTGTAGTATATGCCAGTGATGGTTTGTCCCTTTGCAAGGTAATCTGTGAGAATGACTCCATGACAGTCCCAAAAAACTGAGAGCATGACATTCCCTGCTGACTTTTGCACCTTTGCCATGCTCATGGTTTTGGTCTCTGGATCATACTGATAGATCCAAGATTCATCCATGGTTATCAGACAACCAAAAAGATCCTCTTCATCCTGTTCCAACAGCATCAACATCTGTCTTGAAAGGTCATATCGTGTTTGTTTCTGGAAAAGGGTTAGCAAACGTGGAACTCGGTGTGGAGACACCTTAGACAAGTGCAGTTCATCATGAATAATTTCCCACACACTACCATAACTGAGACCAGTTTCATTCATGATCATTTGGATGGTTGCTCATCTGTCTTCCAGGATTAAACACTCCACTTTCTTCACTATGGCTGCATCGTCTGTCAGTGATGGTCTTCCAAGTCTTAGCTCATCTGTGAAGGACATGTGACCAGTTTGGAAATTCCTTTTCTACCTCACAATAGTGTCATAAGATGGGCAACAGTTTCCATGAACTACCATAATGTCATCATGAATTTGCTGGGCATTATTACCCTTCAAATGCAAGAACTTTATCACGCTGCGAGCCTCAGTCTTCTCCATCTTACACTTCAGTTACTTCTGTCACAACCTGTAACGAAAATATAGGACACAAATGAGTTGATTTTCTCAACATCATACACTTAGGGACCAATGATGACACTGACAAAATTTTATCAACATACCATAATAACTTCCGGGTGATAATTATTACTTTACGATGTAGTATAGTATTTCTGAAACAGCTTAGTTGTTTTTAGTATACTTTCAAAGGAGATTACAACTCCACCATGTTGAGTTTTACGACAGAGTTTGTGTCACTATTGTAATCTTTGAATTCTTTTCTTCTTGCTTTTCCTTGAAGAAAGGGGAAATTAGCAATCAAGAGGTAGAAAGCATACATGTATCTCACAAACATGATTTAGGAGGTATTACTGTCACAATAACCCCCACTTAAAAAAAAACAAACCTTTTATTAGGTCAACATGGATCTGGAGGAAGTAGGCTGAAGTCTGCAAATGAATGAACAGGAATGCTGCTGCCACTGCTAATATTTTAAAAGCACATTTTGTCTCAGAATGAGTAACCTGAAGTATCCAAGCCACTGCCTTACTGATCAGAGCAGTTGTATCCCATATATGTCACAGGATATTAAATACAAGTCACAGTGTTAGCTGACTTTGCTACTTTTAAACATAGTGATTGTATATTTTCTTTTTACTCTCTTTGAATTTGTTTTTCATGTCCATGTCATGCTCACACAATTTGTACCAAAGGCTCTCAAGATTGTTTTATACTTGGGGTTAATTTAGTAGTTCAGCTGTTTGTGTTGTGCCTTCAAATTGTTTTGACTTAGGGCGACCTGAAGGCAAAAGTATTATGGGTTTTTCTGGGATGGAGAGCGTATGACTTGTCCATGGTCACCCAGTGGGTTTCCATAGCAGAGAGGAGAATCAAACCCTGCTCTCCAGAGTCATAGTCCAACACTCAAACCACTGTGCCACACTGGTTCAGCTTACTTGATTGCAGAATTCCTGGTGCATCACACTTGTTGTTCTACTGTAAAACTTCTTTGGAATAGTACAGTACTTTGTCATGACCTAAGATGATACTTAAGTTTGTGACAAAATGTGTGTCATAATTATTAATAATATGATGTGTTAGATAATGATATATTATTGTGTTTTGTTAACTGTAGATAATTTATCCTCTCCTATATCTTTATATCACCTGCATCTTGGAATGATCAACCAATGTTCTCTTAGCAGCTAATCATCTAATTCCTGTTTCATTTTGCAATTTAGACTAAAATATTGTATATTTTGGACTTCTGTTGCTGTGTACTGCTTAACACTCATTTTCCCACCCAGATGAAGTTAGAGAACATGACTGGGCAAATCCTGTCCTTGCATTTATTACAAATTGTTACAAAGTTTTAAAAGGGTGTTCTGAAGGTTGGATTGCACCATAATTTTAAGATGTAAAATTTTAAGAGTACTTTTCATACATCAATTTGTGCTCTATTAGTTTTGACCTTACTGTGTTTGAAGTGCATGCATCTTCAACTTTATTTAAACTTGCTTTAGTGATGTGCATAAAATAGGGTTGGAGTCAGAGCTGTGTAAGGAGTAATGTTGTAACCTCAGCACTTGCTCTAACAAGTCTTATGAATTAATGCTTTGTGTAATAATTTTGTGAAATACGGGCTTTAAAATATGTATATGAATGTGTATTCCAGTAACTAGATTATAGGTCTCAAACTGCCTTCTACTAACATGGGAGATTATTGCACATCTTAAAAACTCGTCTTATCTCTCCCGAATTGAAGTCTAATTTAGGCTGCAGCCTGAAAGCTCCTGACTTTGAAAAACTGGCTG